ACACATTAGCTATGGTGCTGCTCCTGGGATGTCTGGCGGTGCTGGTTGCATGACTACCAGGGGTTCTAGGTTCACAGGTGTCGCTGCCACAGCCAGGGACCCAGGGATCTGGGGACTTGTATGTAGCCCCTGCTGGTGGAGCTGATGTTGGGGGTGCCACCACTGGGGCTTGGGTCACTGGTTCTGGAGTGGTTCCTGATGTCTCTTATTGCAGATTCCATCTGCCACCGCTAGGGGGAAACAGGGGCTAAGCAGGGAGGAGTTTATGTTGCTGCTTGCTGAGCAGCCTTTGGTCTGATGCTAGCCAGTGTGTTTTCAGAACTCAGGTGAGGCACCCCACCCTAGCTGGGAAAATCTGAGTTTTGTCTACTTTCCTTACTGTTTGAAAGACCTGACCACTGACGGGCAAGGTGTAGTGGGGGTGTACATGCTGGATCTGTTGGGAGACGTTAAGGGAGCAAGCCATGCCTATTTTTTCTACCCTTACTCTGACTACTTGTAGGCATGCAGGCTGTAACCATAGGAGATGGACAGAGAGGAAGTTGCACCCACCTTCTCTGCCCCCACCATGACTGCTTGTATGTGAGCAGGTTGGATCCAGTGAGAGATTGGCAGGGAGCAAGCTGTACCTGTTTTTTCTCTGCCCCTGCCATGACTGCTTGCAGTTACACTGACTGGATCTGCTGGAAGTCAGGCAGGAAGCAAGCCTTGTCCTCCTTCTCTGCCCCCAACCAAGACCACTCACAGGCATGCAGGCCGTTGTGAGGATCTGAACCCTGGATTGCTGCTGATGGGGGAGGGGAGGCGGCTGTTCCTCTAGTCCAACTGCTTCCCGGGGGTCCAGTCCACCCACTTCAGATGTATAGATGCATGGATCTTGTAGGCATCCTACTGTGCTGTGTATGGAATTCTCTGTTGCTCAGTGGATGTCTGACTGGTTGTAATGTAGAGGGAAGAGACAAAGGTAACAACTCAGTCCCCCATGACACTGATGTCACCCCTAGAATTCTTATATACTATTTGTGGTTGTGTAAATTGGTACAAATATTTTTAAAAAGTTCTCCTTAGCAGAATCTACTAAAGCTGAGCATGTGCATACCCTAAGACCTAGTGATTCCAGTAGTAGATACATACCCAAAAGAATTGTGTTTATATGATCACCAAAAAGCATATAAAAGAATGATTATAATGTAATGAGTAATGATAAACACAAACTGGAGACTACAAAATATACAAGAGTAAAATATGTAAATAAATTCAGTAATATGTATACAATAAGTATTTATTTTATAAGAATAAAGGCACTAGTCTTGCAACAACATGGATGAATCTCACAAACATATTTTTAGGTGAAAGATGCCAGAAGAAAATGACATATACTATGATGCCATAGTGTATGACTTCATTTATATAATATTCAAAACAGGCAATATTAATCCATGTAACTAACAGTCAGAATAGTACTGTCCTCGGGGAGGAAGTCACTAGAAGGTGGCATGAGGGGACTTCTGAATTTGAGGTAAATATTCCATTTCTTGATGTGAATCTTGGTCCAGTTAATGTGTTTACTTTGTTAACAGTCATCCAACTGTACTATTATGATTTATGCTCTAAGACAGACAAGAAAATCATGTGTAAACTCCAGTCACGTATAACTAGAAGACAGAAAATACTTTTGATTAACACATAAGCAGGGAAATAAATATTCAAGTCTAGCAAAGCCAAATTTGGAGATCATGTCTGAATGGCCAGAATGACTGGAAAAGAAAAGGGTGGAGTAGGGACTAGGGGAAATGGGCAGAGAGAAAATCATTCTGCAAAAAAATAATCTTTTCTGAGTGAGAGAATTAAGAAAGCAAGTCTGAGACATAGTATACAAGTTCACTGATTGCTATGGAATCCAAATTAAGGAACTTGAACATGCAGAAAATCAGAGGGGATTGTCTTGGGAAGGAGTTTGTATGGGGAGTGAAGAGGTGACAAATCTTGGAGGCTCCCTAAGAAGCATGGTAGTAAAGGGAAAAAGGAAGCAAGTGGAGGGAATTAAATTACTTTCAGAAGCAAAAGAGAGTCACAAAGTCAGAAGATCTATCAACCTCTTCTCTCCCCCAAAGATTCCTGTTATTGATAAAACTACACTTCACTGTATTAACAGTAGAGGGTGATCTTGAATTAAGAAACCTAGTAAGCCACAAGCATTCTTACACTGATCCACATACAACTGTTTTTGCTGGTCCAGGAAAATAAATATTCCAGAATGAACACAAAACTGCAGATGTGATCCGTTAAAGCTTCTGTCAGACGATGCATATTTTCTCCAAAACAAGACTGAGAAAAAGAACATCATCAACATCAGTGAAACAGAAGAGAACTGTAACACTATGCCCCAAACTGAATCAGACCTTCATGAATTGAAAAACAATTCAAATTAGAAAATAAAGACCCAGGAATTAAATGGAAAGAAAATAGGAAGTCATGAAATGAGAGTTAACTGAACTCAAGAAAGAAAATAATAATTAAAAAAAGACAAGCTCATACTAGAAGTGAGGATTAAATTACAAATGGATAACATATTCAAATTAAAACACAACTAGAGGCATTGCAAAATGGCATAAAAAGAGTCAAGAGAATGACAATGAAATAAAATAGGCAAACAGGTATCAGTGATTCTATCGGTTTTCTACTGCTGCCTAACAGATTACCACAAATAGCAGGTTAAAATAACACACATTTATTTTCCCATAGTTTCCGTGAGTCAGAAGTCCAGCCATAACTTAACTGGTTCTTCTGCACGGGGTCTCACAGGCTGCAATTAAGTTGTTTTCCTAACTGGAGGCTTGACTGGGGGCAAATCCACTTCCAAGCTCATTCAGGTTGTTGACAGAATTCATCTACTCAATATGGCAACACGGAGGTCCCTGTTTCCTGCAGGCTGCTGGTCAGGGGCCACTCTGAACTCCTAGAAGTCACCAGCAGTTCCTGCTACATTGCCCTCTAACAGGCCCTCTGACAATATGGAGTTTACTTCAAAGCCAGCAAAGAAGGGTCTTTCACTCCAGCAGGCTAAAATGAAGTCTTATACAACAAAACGTAATTATGAGTGACACACCATCAGCTTTGCCCTATAATATCCTAATAAAGGAAATGTCATCCTATCACATTTGGCATACAGCATAACCTAGTCAAGGACTTGACATCTGTCACCTTTGCCTTATTATACTGATTAGAAGCAAGTCACAGGTCACATTAACTTTCCATGGAGGAGGTTATACAAGGACATGAGTCATTGTGGGTCATCTTAGAGTGTGTCCACCCTCCGGCTCCCAATGATTCATGTCCCTCCCACAGGCAAAATACATCCATTCCAACCTAAGTTCCCCAAAAGTTTCATTCAATTACAGAATCAGCTCATAGCCCAAAATACCATTGTCTAAATCAGGTCTAGGTGAAGATAGGGATCCTGGTTGTGATTCATCAAGTACAACTCCTGGAGTAGAATTCCTCTCCATCTGTGAACCTGTGTAACTAAAGACAAGTTATCTGCCTCCAATACACCCAACTTACAATTGTGGGACAGGAATAGGATAACTACTATAAATATTCTAGTTCAAAAAGAGGGAAAATGGAAAGTAAAAAGGAGGCACTGGTGCATGGCAGTTCTGAATTCCAGTTGGGAAAACTCCAGCCTGAGTTCCTTGATTAGATTTCATGGACTGGGAATAACCCACTCTCTCACTTTCACAGGTCTGGATTGGGAAAGGCCAGCATTCCTTCCTAAAGCTTGACAACCCTGCCAACTCTTATTTCCCTGACTAATCCTTGGTGGCTCTTTGCTCTCTCTATGATTCTTGGTTCTGGCTTCCGAGTCATCCGTAGTTTTTCATGGAAGGTAGCATTGTTTGCATCTGAGTAGTTTTATCAGACTGCTTCCTGCCAGTGAAACTTGAGAGTCTGATATCCTCCTTTTATTTTGTACTATCTCTGTTTTAGTCCAGGCAACAGTATTTCTTAAAAAGTTTACATGTCCCCATGGATTTTTTGGGGATTCACTCCATTAGACTCAGGTAATGGTCCTGTAGTCATAAAAATATAGGTGGATGGGAGACAGAGAATAAAGAAAAACTGGATCCTTGTTCTAGCTACATTGAGTCACATAAAATTGAGAAAATATATTGAGGAAGTTCTATATAGCAACCTCCAATTGCTGCATAATAGGTGTAGAAGAGAGTTTAATGAAAGAAATAATAGAAGACCTTTTCCTGAGCTGAGGGAAGACTTTAGTCTTTGGATGGATAAGATTCATACAGTTTAAAGGCATCAAGCAGAAATAATGAAAATATACAAATAGTCATATTTATATTGATGAGGTTTTTCTGACTGCAAGATCAGAAAGAAAAGAAAAACAAAGAATGACAGTAAACAATTGCTCTCAAAGCTTTGAGAAAGGAAAAAAGCAAGCTAACCAACAAACAGTTTATACATAGAAGGACAAGAACCAGGCAGGAAACAGATTTCTTACCTGAAATATAAGCCCAAAACAATGGGAAACCAAGGAGGTTATCTGAATGCAAGAAGCTGGGTGTTGCAGGAAAGGCAGAATAAGAGAGGAGATTGGGGGTTGGGAGATGGAAGAGAGAAAAGGGAGAGAGAAGGAAATCTGAGCAGACCACGTGGAGTAGATACTGGGGAAAGGGATTGCTAATGAGTGTGTTATTTTAAAACTTGCTCTGTGTGGCAAAATTATCCTTGCCACACCCTCAGAGAACTAAATCACATTTCAAAAATTTTCGAGCTATATTTTGATTTTCTTTTGATGTAAAACTGCTAAAGCACTTTGATTCTACTGGAAGTTCAAAGTCTTTCTTAGTGTGCCAGGATATTGGATATTGACAGCTGTAAGACTATTAACTGGGTGTGGACACCAGCAGGGGGAGACAGTGCACTTTAGAAATTCATTGCGAGCTGAGGCTTTCCGTTCTTCCTCTCACTTTTCACACTTCCGGACTGAGAAAAGCCAGCACTCCTTCTTAGAGAGTGGTGACCCGGCCAGCTCTTATTTTCCTGACTATTCCTCCCATGTTTCCAAAATATGATGCAACCTGAGACATGGGTTTTGGATGTTTGAGAAGCAAAGAAGCATGAAATGGAGCAGGACTTAAAGCGTACTTTTGCTTGAAGACCAAGGAGCTCAGTCTTTTACAGGTTCTAACAGGTAAGAGATTGCTACTATAAAACTGCACGCTTAAAAACAATCATCACCGCCAGTGCAAGCCACTATCCTTTTCACACTGAGCTTTCAATATCCTCTGCCATTATCTAATACATTCTTGATATATCAGCACGAGTGATATTTTATTTTATAATTTATATTTTAAAATTATGAGGATATGTGTACATAGTTTAAAAATTAAACAATAGAGATATATTTTCATAAAATAGGAGCCCTTTGCGCCTTCCTTTTACTCCAATAAACTTACACACAGAGAAACTTTCCATATATTCCTATTTTATTAGGTGACTTTAACATGAATAGGCTTGGAATTATGTCAAATGCTTTTTTTGGGGGGGGGAGTGGGAATCTAAGGATCAGTGAATTTATAAGTATGAAAATCATATAAAGTTTGTTCACTGACCAAAATGAAATTAAATTAGAAATCAATGTAAAAATATATTACCAAATATCTGTAAACTAAAAACATTCTTCTTTTAAATAAAACATGGGTCAGAGGAGAAATCAGAAGAGGATTTAGAAAGTATTTGGAGATGAATAAAATAAAATCTAATATATCACAATTTATGTAATGCATCTAAAACAGTGTTTCAATGGACAATTATAGCATTCAATGCTTATACTAGAAATGAGGAAATATCTCAAATGGACTAAGATTCTACCTTAAGAAACTGGAAAATCAAATAGCAACTTAAGCCCAAATTAAGCAATAGAAAGGAAATAATAAAAATCAGAGAAGGAATCAATGTTATGAAAATAGAAAACAAATTGAGAAAATCAATGAAACAAAAATATAATTCTTTGGGAAGGCCTCTAAAATTGATAAACATCTAGCGAGACTGAATGGGAAAGAAAGAGAGAAAGCACAATTTGCCAATATCAAGAATGAAAGAAAGGATATCACTACAGATTGTGTAGAAATGAAAATTACAGCAAAAGAATACAGAAAAACTTTATAAATTGGGCCACTTAGATGAAATGGGAAAACTCCTTGAAATATACATATTATGAAAGATCATTCAGGAAAATGGAATGACCTGAAACAGACCTATACTATTTCTAATAAAGAAATTGAATTTGTAGCTTAAAACCTTCCCACAAAGTTAATTCCAGGCCCAGGTGTTTTCACTGGCAAATTCTTTCAAGCATTTAAGGATAACACGACACCATTCCATAAACATTCAGCAAACAGAAGAGGAATTTATTCTATGATACCGCCATTATCCTTAGACCGAAATCAAAGACATTACAGGAAGAGAAAACTACAGACCAATATCCCTCATGAGCATAGATGCAAAAATTCTTAATAAAACTTTATCAAATCAAATCAAACAATATAAAAAAAGAATACTGCAGCATGACCAAGTGGAGTGTAAACAAGGAATGCAAGATTGCTTTAGCATACAAAAATCAATGTAATTCATCAGAAAAACAACACACCCAAAAATTATCAGCTCAATTGATGCAAAAATATATTTAACAAACTCCAACTCCTATTCATAATAGGAATTCTCAGCAAGGTAAGAATAGGAAACTTTCTCAACCTGACAAAGGGCATCTAAGAAAAATCTACTGCTAACATCAAGCTTAATGGTGAAAGAATGAATGCTTTCCTCTGAGACTGAGACCAAGGCAAAAATTTCTGCTCTCACCACTCCTAGTCAATATAATATTAAAGGTTTTATCCAGTGCAAAAAGCAGGACAAAGAAATAAGAGACATGTCAATGGGAAAGGACAAAATGAAACTGTCTATCACAGATAACATGATTGACAATATAAAACGAGGATTGGCTTTTTCTGTGAAGGGCCAAAGAGTGAACATTTTAGGCTCTGTGTCTAAGAGACAAAATGAGGGATATTATTTACATATACAACCATCCCAAATGTAACCGTTTAAAAATGTAAACATTATTCTTAGCCCATAGATTGTACAAAAACAGGTGAGTGTGAATTTGGCCCATTGGCCGTAGTTTGTCAATCCTTATAATAGAACACCTTAGAACTGCAGTTAACGAAAAAGTGAGTCTAGCAACGTTACAGGATGCAAGTTCAATTAATATGATCAATTTTATGTCTATTTACTAGCAATGAACAATGAAAAATTGAAATTTATAATTTTCATTCACAATAGCATCAAACGTATAAAATACTTGGGGATAAACTTGACAAAAGAGCTACACAACTCATATATTGAAAACTACAATATGTGCTGAGAGAAATGAAAGAATACCTAAATAAATGGAGACATAGGCCACGTTCAAAGACTGGAGGAATCAATGTTATTAACATATCAATTCTGCCCTAGTTGATGTGCAGCTTTGACACAATTTGCAATCCAAATCCATAAGGCTTTATTGAAGAGATTGACAAGCTTATTCTTACATTTATATGGAAATGCAAAAGACATAGAATAGCAAAAATTGTTTTGAAAAAGAAGGGTAAAGTTGGAGGGTTTATACTACCTATTTTAAGATGTTTTTATGTAGCTACATCAAGACAGTGTGGCAGTAGTGTAAAGATAGATATGTTGACAAATGAACAGACTAGAGATTCCTGAAATAGATCTCTACTTATAAAAGCAACTATTGACAAAGGTCCCTAGGTAATTCAATAGGGAATGATAATCTTTTTAACAAATGGTGCTGAGACAGCTGGATATCTATACACAAAAAATTGAACCTAGACCCTTATCTCACACTTAATAGACACCAGGCATTATAAGTGCTGAGGACACAGAGATATCCACCCAGACCCTGCCCTTAGGAAGCTGACAGAAAGAGCTTAATCAGTAACAACAATGCAAATTTACTACCATACAAAAATTAACTCAAAGTGGATCAAAGCCCTAAACACAACAGTGAAAACTATAAAAATTCAATAAAATGTCATAGGAGAAAATCTAAGTGCCTTCAGATATGGCAAAAATTTCATAACCAACTAACAAAAAGCATAAACTGTAAAATAAAAGGTAAATTACTTGGACTATATCAAAATTAAGTACTTTTGTCTTCCAACCATACTGTTAGAAAAATAAAAAGACAAGCCACAGAGTGAGAAAGATATTTACAAACATCAGACAAATAAATTTTATCTTTAATATATAAAGAATACTTACAATTTATTAATAAGAGGAAAAACAACCCAATTAAAAATGGTCAAAAAATTTGAACAAACACTTCCATCATAGAAGATATACAAATGGCAAATAAATACTTAAAAAGATGCTTAACATCATAAGCCATTATAGAAACACAAATTAAATTCATACTGCAAGGTCATTACATTCTCATTGGAATGACCAAAATTAAAAAGACTGACCATACCAAGTGTTGGCAAGGATGTGAAACAACTAGAATTCTCTTACACTGCTAGCAGGAATATAAAATGATACCCAAATCACTTTGGAAAACAGTTTGGCAACTTTTTAAAAAGGTAAACAAAAAAATACCATATTTTTAAAGTATTTCCTTCCCAGGTATATGCCCAAGAGGAAAGGAAATATGTGTTCATGAAAAGACTGGTACAGAAGGTTCATAGAAGATTTGTTTGTAATAGCCAAAAACTGGAAACAGCCCCAAGTGGCCATCAATGGGTGAGTAGATAAAGAAATTGTGGTGTATTTAAATATACAATGAAATACTACTCAACAATAAAAGAGAAAAAATCATTTATATGTGCATCAATATGGTTGAACCTCAAAATAATTATGCTGAATGAAAAGAAAACAAAAAAAAATTCTTGTATGACCCTCTTTATATAAAATTACAGAAAATACAAACTAATTTTTAAAAAAAATTTAGGAAATACCAGCTAATTGACAGGAAGAAGTGTAGTGATTGCTTGGGGATTAGGAGTGGGGGTGGTTTACAAAGCATCATAAAGAAATTTCAGGAACGATGCTATATTCACTGTCTTGATTGTGGTGATGGCCTTGTAGGTGTGTACATGCGTTAAAGCTCATGAAATTATACACTTTAAATATGAACAGTTTATTGTATGTCAAATATATATCAATAAAACTGTAAAAAAAAAAAAAAAAACAGAGAAAGTGTGTCTAGAAACCCATCTAGGAACAGGGGATATTGCTCCATTTACTAAAACTTTTTACGGACCTTTATTAAATTTCCTATTTTTTTCATGATTTTACTTATATATTTAAATTCATTTCTTGATATTTTACCTTTTTTCTATTATGAATAGAAAATTTTCTGCAAATATATTTTTCTCATATGCCTTCTTAGTGGTTTAATCTTTCAGAGGCAGGTGATGCTGCCCCCTATCTGTAGAAGAGCTCTTTGTTATCAATCAATGTTGTGGCTGCTGAGAGTCTGTGTGTATCAAAGGGGTCAGGAGTGTGGACTAGGACATTCCATTGTATTTCAATGACCCTCTTTCCATTGTTGCCCTGATCATGTTGCTAGAAAATAGCTCTGTTATATTCCCAAGCTATATATTTAGAAACTTCTGAAGTATTTGTGTAACAATTGCCTCCACATAGCAAGAAAACATTCTATGATAAAAGGAATAATCACAGAAAAAATAAAAAGTAAAGTATATTAGAAAGTTAATTATAAAATGAATAGATAAGTGTCGTGACAGAAAAGGTAAGTGTTGTGGTCATTTCTTGCCCATCTATCCTTGCTGATGGTCCTTTAGATTCGCATGGTCAACTCTCTAATGTCCAATGGACTTTGATTGTTGCTTTAAATCTTAGAATATGCGACTCTTTCCATTAACTCTTTTACTACATGACTTCACAGATGTTTGTAATTCCTAGTGACTCTACACGTTTCTTGATATGTTTATTTTATGCTGTATTTCCCCGTAATTAAAGCTTTATGCTTCTTTTTGGCCTTTTCAGTGACTTGGTCTGCTAGAGACAAGTGATGCTGCCTCACATCTACTCCTCATTGACTGGAGAGGAAACCATTATATCCTTAACAGCTCTGTAAAGTCTCTTTGTTGTCAATGTCTTTATTTGAATCTTAGATCGAATGTTAGCTTTAAATGTCAGAGTTTGGGGTAAGCGAAGCATCTGTAAGACGCCTCTTTGCACGTGTGTGTATCTTCCAGGGTGTCCTACCCTTGATTCTACAAGATTACCCTAATCTCAAATGGGAAGTGATGGGATCAGTAGGATGAGGGCACAGACATCACTTCAGAACTCCAAGTCACAATCAGGTCGTTGGTCCTAAACCAGGGGTGCCCCAGAACAAACAGGTATTGCAAGAAAGAAGTGAACATAAATGTCAGTGGCTTAATATGTTTCCCCAATGGAAAATTCAGGAGATAGGTGGCATGTGAAGGGATAAAATGAACATCAGAGTCAAATGAACATCATTTATAGCCCAGCTGTGTCCCTGCTCCTGTCTTTAATCAATGAAAATGAATGATGACTCCAGACCCATTGGTGAGTAACTGATTCTCACGGCTTCTGGTCAACCAAAAGATCCATGGTATGCTAGAAATAGGGCTGGAGGTAGGGGAAATGTGCCCATATGCCTCCCTAGTTGTCTGGGAGCTTATTCATTTTCTAAGGAGTATAAGGGAATGGTTGAACTCTAGTACAAAATGACTGCTGACATTAAGAAACGAAGATTGTTCTGAGTGAGCATGGTCTGAAAACTGAGCCCTTAACAGACTGAACTCATCCTGAAGAGGGAGCTTCACTGTGAGGGAGATGCTCTGTTACTGACTTTGAACGTGGAGAGGGCCGCATGGCAGGGATCCGAGAGGGGCCTCTAGGAGCTGAGAGTGACTCCTGGCTGACAGCTGGCCTGAAGACAGGACTTAATTCATACAAGGAAATGAATTCTGCCTATAGCCAGCAAGCTTGGAAGAGGATCCCAATCCTCAGATGAGAACTGCAAACCCAGCTTGTGACTTCAGTCTTGTGAGACCTTAAGGAGAGAGCCGATATGAGCCCACCTACACTTCTGACATAGAAAATTGAGATAATAAATGGCTTTTAAGTTGCTAAGTTTGTACTAACATGTTATGGCAGTGGTAGAAAACTGGTACAATATCTTTTTCTCACTTAAGTTTTACACTCTACATCTTAAGCATTTTTTTTTACATAACTGGAATGCTTAGTAATCAATATACCATTCACATATTAGTTCTTGATTTTTCATATAACTTGTGGCTGTATGTATGATGATTTTTAAATACAAAGTTTTTTTTTTAATATGGCATAACAATGTTTTTCTCTACAGTTTCTTCCTCTGTTTTGTTATTTTAAATCATCCCGCCACCTTTTAATGAAATAAATATTCACTTATTTTTTTCTATATTTTGAGTTTCTTATTTTACGTTTGAAATTTTAATCAATCTTAATACCATCCATGGGAGTGTTAATGTATGGGCTCTTTTTACTTTCCAAGTGATTAACCAATCGATTGACCCACTACCAGTTTTAGTAAGTTTCCCTCATTCTACTAAATAAAAAATTTACTTTTATTATATACTACATTCTTAATTTATCCCACATGAAGGCAGGATAACTTTCTCTGTCCTTGAAAGTACTCCCAGTGTGGCGTTCTTTTAAAGAAGTAAGAGTTAAATTGCTTACTACGTAATTAAAAACAATTTGAACCTTTATTACACTGTCTTGAGAAATATAAAATTTGGATTATATTTCTAACACCAAGAAAAATGATTTAAAATTCTTCTAAAATATCTTCTTCCCCTAAAAATCTCACACTATAATTCTTTTACTCACCAGTTTCCTCATCACTGTGCTGCTTTTTCCTCCCTTTCACCTATAGGTGCCATGATGATCAAGCATACCTCAGAAGACTTGCCTCCTGACCCCTCACATCCCACTGACTTCCAATCTCCATTAGCTACTGCCCTTCACCCCACAAACCAAGACTGACTCCCGAAGAGTGGAGTGGGCCCTGCTGTGCCATGGAGAAGTGAAGAACATAACTTACAACACAAAAGCGTCTTAGAAATGTGTTTCTATCTTCCATCCCAAAATTGTCTCAAAGGGATAGTAGATTCCTAAAAATATAGTAAATAAATTTCTCAATCTCATTAATCTTAACAAAAATTAGGCTCTGTTTCTGTGCAGTCAATTTTACTCCAGAGTTGGTTCTTTTTGTAGCAGTATGAACATGTTTAGCTTCATAATAATTTGTAAACATCTGTTAGAGCAACTCCAGTTTTCTTATTAATAATTATTTTTTACATTTATTATTTTTGAAAAAAATAGAAACATTTTATTAATAAAATTATTGTATCAATATTTAAATAAAAGCATCACCAAATCTATGTATTTTGTTAGGGAAATTGACACAAACTGTCCTGTCAAGAACATGATATCTGTCTTTGTTTATTAAACATCTTTCTGTCCTTAGGTAAAGTTTTGTTCTTTTCTGTGGATTGCACACATAGCTGGTAGGGTTTATTGTTTTGACATTTTGTATATTTATTGCTTTTATAACTGAATTGTTTTCTGGAACTGACTTAGTGGCTTAGTCTGCCAGAGACAGGTGATGCTGCCTCACATCTGCTCATTGAGGAGAGAGGAAGGTATTTAATGGTTTAACTTAAACACAACTTCCAGGATCCTTTTTTTGTTTTTAAGCAGAATCCCATATTTGGTCACTCCCTGGTCTAGAGTTAGTCCAGTGGTTACTTCCTTCAGCCAAGGCAACCCTCCCCTCCTCCAAGAGCCAGGCGTGTGATAGAAAACGTCCTCTGTGGTCATGTAGTCATGGCTCCTCTTGTCCTGAGTGTCCGGGCTGCAAGTTTTATGTATTCACTTCCAACTAAGCCTTTCTTCTGAACTTCTTGTAGTCAGTTTTGATTCCCAAAGTATTTTAGTTTGATCTACAATATAATAATTTCCCCAAAATGTGAAGAATATAAGTATACAGAATTTTGAAGTCATATCAGTACAAGAGCATAGGACAGAGTATTTAGATTCTAACATAACCTTCAACAAAGTAGTCTTTCTATAAAGTGCTTTCAAAATAATCAAAATTCATTTGATTAATATAGACATAGGGGCGATATGTCAATGAAAGGCAAGCCCAATATTCTGATTTAGCACATAAGAGGAAGAGAGGCCGGTGAGAAAAGGCCCTACTTGAAGGATAGGGTGAGGGGTGGGCAAGGAGGATTGATATGGTCTGAATTCCAGATGCATATTCTAGCCGCTGATTTGGCATCATCATCAGCTTGAATGTTTTCGCGAGAGCCTGTCTTACATCTCTGGCAATTCTAAAATAGGAAAACAAGGATCATTTTATGTGAGTCCAGGTCCTCAAGAAATCATTAAAATGGTTATATTCTCATTTATTTTTCTCCACACTTTTTTGATTTATTATTTTAATTCAATTTGTTTTGAATATTTAATATATTTTCATGACAAAAAATTGAAAAGGTGCATTACAGTAGAAAGTCTCTCTCTCTCTCAACCCAAACTTACAGCTACCATGTGTACCTTTGAAGAAGTAACTACCTTTAGTACTTTTTGGGTATCCATCTGGAAATATTCTATAAATATACAAGCAAAACCAATCTATCTCCATCTATCATCTGAATAGCTCTCTCTTATGAACACAAATCACAGTGTGCTATACACTTTGCTTTTTCCTAACTATACATCTTATAAGTTTTCATATCTGAACATAAATATCTGCCTCATTTTGAAAATAGCCACTTAGTAGTCTGATAGTGATAGACATTCAGGTCGTTTTCTACCTTTGCTCTTATAAATAATGGTGCAACAAATAACCATATATATATATTACTCTACACATTTTCAAGATATATGAAGGATAAATTGTTAGAGGTGGATTTGTTAGGTCAAAGACTGTCCATTTCTAAATTTGATTGATAGTGCCAAATTTCCCTCCATAAAACTTTTGCCAATATACAACTCACCATCAATGTATGAGAGCACATTATGACACTTCTTGAGCTATGCCCGTTTTATAGGTGAAAATGATATATCCCCAAACTTTTTTATTCTTCTTATGTTAATTAGGGTATGCCAAACTGCTGTAATGAATAGACCCAAAAGTGTATGACAGCTCGAATTCACTAGAAGCTTAAATCCACTAAGGTAACAACAGGCAAGTGTGGATGATTAATGAGTAACTCTCCTCCAGAAGGTAATTCAGGGATCCTGACTCCCAAACATTAATATGTTGCCTCCCCCTTTTTTTTTCCTGGGAAAATTAAACCACTTCAATACTTCCTCAAAATGAGAGGTCAAGAAGGGGGCCAATTGTGATCTAGAAGACTAAGGCAAGGAGGTTAGTGAAATTTGTTACAGTGTCCACTGCTCTAGTTAGCCCTCTGAGTGTAAGTAATATTCATCATGTCTCTCCCTCACAAGCCATTTTTGATTCCCCTCACTCTTTGAATTTAGTCTAGATTGTTTTTATGGTTTGGTTACAGAGACTACTATCCCAGAACCTTCTATGTCTTATTCACCCTTCTTTTGTTGGATTCTGATTGTTTTAGTGTCTACTGGCAGCCATTAGCATGCATAAAAGTACTAAAAGACTGTCGAGTAAATTCCATGGGTTCCAAACATATTCTTCCCTGCCCTTATTGTGTATGTGAAACCCTAGTTTCCCATGGTAATTAAGATCAATTCCTGCATTCAGTACATAACTTCCCTTGTTTGCCAGATGCTCTACTGACATTAGATGGCAGTCACAGCTAATTAATTGAAATCTTTCTGTGTCATTTGCAGGAGCAATTCTCTTCCAGTAACCAGAATATCTAAATTGGGAGAGCAAAAGTTTGTAAATACAGTTAGCATAAATTCCACAAGTAGGTTTAATAGTGAGAGGGGCCACTCCATTTTGGTTTACATCATTGGTTCAAGGCTTATACCACATCTTAGAGGGCAGTATCCTCTAGCCAACACCATTCAGTCATTCTGTTGGACTGGATACATCTTGGTAATGGGGTCAGATGAGCCTGTTGACACATCTTTCTTATTAAGTGGGTTCCGTGGTCTGAGGCAATATTATGCAAGATATTACACCAATGAATATAGCATTCCATGAGTCCTTGGATGGTGAAGGCTCTAAAGGCACCATGGGCAAAAATGGCAAACCCATATTCAAAATACATATATTACAATTCCAGGAAGGATAAAGCACTTCCTCTCCAAGGGGAAAGCTTTTGATGTAGTCAGCCTGCTGCCAATTGCCTTGGATGGTGTCCCCAAGGAATGGTACCATTTTAAGAGCTCAATGTTGTTCTCTACTTTTGGTTTGTTGGGGCTCAGATATTCATTAACTAGACCATTTTTGTTGAGTGCAAGTCCCTGTTGTTGAGCCCATGTATATCTTTCCTCCCTCCTATGATGGGCATGCTGCTCATGGGCTCATTGCACATTCACTGCAGTGGCCAAGGAGAGAAGCAGGAGGATAGCCATAGGATGAGTTGTCCTTGTAACTTTTGAGACCCACCTCTGATGTAGATGCTTTATGGTGAGGATTAAAGTGAAACACAAAGATCTATACACTTTGAATCAATTTCTGGAGGTCCACCTATATACCTCTTTCACATTCCTCCTGTTCCAGCTCTACCGGGTTTGTTCTTTTTAGGAGCTTGATCACTCAGAGGAACAATTCACCACTGTCTAAGAGTAAATGTCTACATCTCAGGCTACCTGTTTCTACATTCAAAGGGGATAATTAGATCTTGGAGAGCCATCACCAAGTGAGCCTGTAATATAGCAGCAGTCCACTTCCAAACCATGTCACTATGTAATCCAACACTTTTGGGAACTGAGGTAGAATTCTTTTTTCCCTCATTAGCTAGTTAAACAAAACTCTCACGATGATATAGACATAGGTTTAGGGAAAGGCAATGGTGCAGTAGAAGTAGGTAAGGCATGGGAGTTTAGACTTACTATTAAATTATTTTATAATTTACTAATGTATTTTCAATTTGTTCAAGTCTTGTTCCAAATGTACCACTCTAATGGCACAATGGATTGTGGTTGTGCATGCTCAAACTATGACTCTATGAATCCTATAACATCCAGCAAAAAGTCACATAGTTAGTGTGCTAAGTTCCTGAAAGGAAGAAAATGCACACTTGGTCTTGTCTTTAGAAAACGTAACTTCATGCAAAGTTACTGTTACAGAAGTTTTACTGTGTCATATTTTGGAACATGTGGTGTG